CTGGAGCGGGTCGTAGTGCACTGTGAGCGTAGCGAGGTTCGGCTCACAACGCACGCTCGCAAGGTTGCGCGCCGCAAGCTTTCCCTCGAGAATATGAACGCAGACCGTGTTGCGCAGATCCGCAACTTGTTCACCATATTCTACTATGATGGAAGTGTCGCCACCTTGCCTGTAAGTGACGCGAGGATGATCTCCATTCGGTTCGGCCAGGTGCAATATTGAACTTGTGGTCCGTGAGCCGAACTCCAACTTGAGTGGCACAATTTCTGTATCATTACCATCCACCAGAGCACCCAAAGACCTCAAGTAGGCCTCATTTGTGTGTTTGATCCTCATGGCATCCTCAAAGGAAACCAGTCGCAACTGAACGCTGTCGCCCGACTTCAGCTGACCAACTTTCCACATCTCGGCTGAGCAGATGGTGACCGCGCAAGCAAACCCACCGAGATCCGGGCGGTCGCGGGAAAAGATGATGGGAAACTCCCCGGTCCAGTTGACACCGCCGTTGGGATACCCGTAGTCGAAGACGTTTGATGGATGAGATCCGCCTCCCCCGCCGGTGGTGCGTGCCCACTTTAGTCGTGGACCCTCTAGTCGAATGCCACTGCGACTACTATTGTGGCTGACGGTCCATTTGGAGTTGGTGATTGTTGCCATACCCTCGGGGGTCAATATGTCTTCCGAGCCATACGGACCATTAAGGCAGAATATCTCCGAGTGCCCGTAATCAGGGATTGCCTTTTGTGGTAAAGAAAAGGGAGTGGCTGCCGCTGCCCAACTTGCTGTTTCAGGGGCAAGGGCGAGAATATCGTTGATCTGCAGCTTACGGCCCTGAAGACCGCCGAACGCGAGCTCTGGCGCCGTTGATTTGGAGCCGAGATAAAGAGGTATGTCTGGGAAGCCTCCTTTGACTGCGAGGTAGGTCCGAAGACCGTCACCCGTGACGTTGCCAATCTTGAGCGTCTGGCCCTGTTGCACGAGGATTCGGGACCACATCGGTTGGTGCCTGCCGTCAACACTGACGGGAACTTGGGCACCACACACGGCCACCACGGCCGATTCATGGAAAAGGAGTTCCGGGCCAGACATTGCTATTTCGAGTACCTCGACTTGAGCGTCGTTACCAACGAGAATGTTTGCTGTCCGACTGCTCAAATCATCCATTGGTCCGCCGGGAGGCACGCCGTGCCCGATCGTTGGCCTCCCAGGGTAATCCTGAACTGTAGTGAATACACCAGGGTTGAGTACTTGTACGGCGCACACCTTTGCCTTGAAAACGGGTAGGAAAGAGGTGAGCGTATCGCCCTTGGTGAACTCATTAGAACGTAGCACCTGCAAAAGGTACTGCAAGTTCGTCTGTGTACCTTGCAAAACAGTTTGGTCAAGAGCGGCGAGCATCATCTTCTGCGCCTCAGCTCGACCGTCATTGCTGTGTACCATGACTTTTGCGACCAAAGGGTCGTAGAGGGGTGTGATTTGCTGGCCGCTCTTCACCCATGTGTCCACCCGGATACCATCGCCCTTGGGCCAGCCGACATGCTGTAGAAGGCCCGGGCTAGGAGCAAAGTCGAGCAAGGGCACTTCAGCATACACTCGGACCTCGATGGCCGCACCGTTCAGCTGTGCTTGTGGGATTCTTCGTAGCTCGTCCGAGGGGATGCCGAGCTGGCCGCCGTGCTCGTAGTCGGCTTGCTGCAGCATCAAGTGAACTAGATCAACCCCATAGCACATTTCTGTGATGCCGTGTTCGACCTGGAGACGCGTGTTCATCTCGAGGAAAAAGAAATCGGCCGTTTCATCGTCGACCAAGAATTCGACAGTGCCAGCACTCTTGTACTTGAGTTGTGAGGCGTAGTTGACTGCCGCCTGGAGCATCTTCTCACGGAGACCTGGCGTTCGCGCAACGAATGGACTGGGGCACTCTTCAACCACTTTCTGGTGACGTCGTTGGAGAGAACATTCCCTCTCCCCGAATGCAACAACTTGCTTGCCGTTTCCAAAGACTTGCACCTCTACATGCCGGGACCGAGGATAATACTTTTCCAGAAAGACGCCGCTGTTCTTGAATAGAGCGCCCGCGCGACTCTCGACTGTGGCGAATGCTTTTGGGATATCATCGTCGTCGTAGCATATTTGCAGGCCCATACCGCCGCCTCCTCCGGTGGCTTTGAGCATGACCGGGAAACCAAGCTTCTTGGCCCCTTCTTTGGCCTCGTGGGTTGATGGAATTAACGAAGTACCGGGGATGACGGGGACTTTTACGGCCTCAGCAATGGCTCTCGCCTCATGCTTCAGACCCATGGCCTTGATGGAAACGGATGAAGGACCCATGAAGATCTTGCCTGCAGTCGTGACGGCATCGGCAAAGTCGGCGTTCTCGCTGAGGAAGCCATATCCGGGGAACACAGCGTCGGCGCCGCAGCTTTTGCAGATTTCTAGAATGGCGTCTCTGATGTGATTGTGAGAAGCATGATGCTACGGCCAACTCGGTGTCACTCACCCATCTGTGTAGGTGTCGTTACCCCGCAGTGCGATCGCCTCGTCAGCTAACAACGCATGTAGTGATGTTGTGTCGGCGGCCGTATAGATGGCAATACTGTGGACATCTAGCTCACGGCAGGCCTTGATGCAGCGAACGGCAATTTCGCCACGATTGGCCACCAGGACCTTCTTAATGCTACGAAGTGGCCTGGAATGCATAGCTTTGTTGAGGCTTTGAACAAGTCAGCGACGATTTTGGACGCGGTTAGAGGGCACATGGAGGGTTAGACCGTACGAAGTTGGGTTCGTGACCCCCAGTATATCAATCAGCCCATTCCGTTCGTCCGCATATTAGTGATTCGAAGGCAAGACGCGCCCACACCAGGCCGGTGGCTACCCTGAATGCCTCTCATGTCGTTACCCCAACAGCTAGAGTCCCAGGAGAGGGGAACGCATCCAGTAGCATTGCCGGAGTACCGGGTCGAGATAAGGGATCATCGGCGAAGCGCATGAAGGTTTGTCGGGTGGAGGTCCCGGTAGGCTGTGGTAGGTTTCTGGTAAGATGATTGACCTCTTTGCTCAGTTGACGTCGTTGGTCTGTACCTCAAAGGGTGTGTGTGGATGGCAGATGCAGTAACGACCCCGCATCGTACCAATTGATGGGGTCACAATGGGCACCCCCTACTATCAAGAACCCCTGTCGGCGGAGTTTAGTGATAAGGACCGCCTGATCCAGCATACCCCAAGACGGACCTTTGGAGTAATGGACCCCAAACGTCTACCCCAACAGTAGAGTATCATCCACCTCTCACTTCGATCGTTGAAGCGCTCTTATTAGACGACGTTGAGGCAGCAAAGACAAGATGCCTCCATCACGCTTACTCCATCTTCTTTCGTTACGTCAGACAGCCTTCCGAAGCTCAAACCTCGCTGAACATCGCCCGTTATCCCCATACTTCAGAATGGCTTCAGGGCTGGCGCGCAAATACGAGATCAACGCCGACATGGGCGAAGGCTTCGGCCGCTGGAAGATGGGCCCGGATGAGGAATTAATGCCATACATCGACGCCGCCAACATTGCGTGCGGATACCACGCCGGCGACCCTTCCATCATGCTCAAGACAGTTCGCCTGTGCAAGAAGCACGGCGTCAAGGCCGGAGCGCACCCGGGACTGCAAGACATGTTCGGCTTCGGTCGGAGGAAGATCGAGATTGACCCCAAAGACATGTACGCCATGGTGCTGTACCAGGTCGGCGCCCTCAAAGCCATACTCAATTCTGAAGGCGTCGAGTTATCCCACATCAAGCCTCATGGGGAGCTCTTCTTCTACATGCAAAGAGACGAGACGATCATGAGGGCTGTTCTAGAAGCATGCGCCACGTTTGGAGACAACATCCCGGTATACGCATCGCAAAACGCCACACAAGAAGCTATGTGCAAGGAGCTGGGCATCCCGTTCCAAGGGGAGGTCTACGTCGACATTGATTACTCTCCAGAGGGCAAGCTCATACCGGTGGCACAGTCCAAGGTGGCTACACCAGAATTGTGCTACGAGAGGGCTTTGTCTGCATCACTGAAGGACGAAGGCAAGGATAACAGTGGCGGTATCTTTAGCTTTGGCTTTGAGGGAAAGCCATTCAGCATCTGCGTGCATTCTGATCATCCCACGGTGCTTCAGAATGTTACGGGTGTACGCAAGGCAGTCGACGAGGCGAACAAGCAGAGGTTCCCTAATTTTTCGAAATAGTCGTTTCTCAATATGACCCTAACAATGCCTCGAAGAAAGCATGTCAAGAAGATTCCGATGTTGGTATGAAGGTAACCTGAAGAATGTCTGCAGGCGTCTAAGAACTGGAAGCGCAGAGTAGTGGCGGGCATTCAGCCGGCAGCTGACATATCCGTGGCAGCGGAGATGACTTGTCTTTAAAGTTCAGCCAATTTCCACTCTGAAGTCACAAAGTGAACGCAGCTCTTTTGAAACTACGGAAACGGCGACGTCGAGACCAGTAAAATGGCCCTTGCTGATCTCTTGAAAAGTCTCAACGAGACTATGATGGATCATGTCTACAAAGTGAGCGCCTGAGCTGTCTGGCTTGTCGACGGCGGAGCAACAACCCCTTGGTACTGGAAATTCGGATCCTCAGACACACGCCTTGATGAGAAGGCCATTCGCCAGAACGGCTCTAGGTCATGCCGCATGAACCAGCAGCAAAACATGGCAGCGTTATATCCCTACATCTAAATCCACCGAGGACAGAGAACCGGCGTCGGCTAGAGTGCTATGGGTTGGATACGAGGCACAGGTATCCAGTGCGACGTCGGAATGATTGTCGTATCAGATACGAAAAATCATCGGAGCCGCTGAGCTGAGGGAAGCGCTGTGCAAGCAAACGATGTCCATACGGAGGCCCGCAAACTTGGCGATGCCCATTGAAATGATCTAAGGGGTCACATAGGAGATACTCGGCTTGGCGATGCTGCTCTCTGGATGCTTAAGAATGGCATCTTCACCGCAAAGATGCTTCCCGCCCTGGACACTATATGGCATTCACCCACACTCTTTACTTCCATTAACTCTCCTGCTCCTTTCAACGGCAAGGTCCTAGCCCAATGCCCAAAGTCTTCCAGTAGAACACAGATTGAGAGACATCGCCGAACCACTCGATGCATCTACAAGCTTCGCTTACAGCCTTCGTCGCACTGACTTTACTTGACTGTTCAGCAATCGCGGCAAACCCCACAACTCCACGCGAATCTCCTCATGGTTCTAATGGCTTTGCTCTGGTCTCTCCAGCTAGCATAGATCCTCTCTACAGCAAGCCGGTGATTGACAGCGAGACCGACGAGATCTCCCCAGGTCCCCATCACCACGTTGCGGGGCACTTTTCTAACACGTCCACTCGCTTCAACTTCTACTTTCCGCCAAAAGATGCCTGGGGCGGTCGTTTCTTCCAACTCGCCTACCCTACGCAGTCCGCGAATGCCACTGAGGAAACCATTGGGTTCGGGCTAGACAGCAAGGCCTACACGGTCCAAGTCACGGGGTCAAACGGGTTCCGTGCCGAAGCAGCAGCAGCAAGGTATTCCCGGATTGTTGCGGCGCGATATTATCGTCTCACAAGCACTCAGCATATCTATGGCTATGTTTACGGCGGCAGCGGTGGCTCTAATCAAGTTATTGGGGGTATTGAGAATACAGTCGGCGTCTGGGACGGCGCTGTGGCGATGGTCCAAGCCGTGCCGATTTCCGCCCCCAACAGCCCATCGATCAGGGCAATGGCGGGTTTAGTTCTACGGAACAGGAAGACCGAGATTCAGGATTCCCTTAAGCCCGGGGGTAGTGGAAATCCTCTCTCAATACCATCAATGACGGAGCTCGAGCGAAGCATGCTGATTGAAGCCACAAAGCTTGGTGTCCCCATCCGTGCTTGGGAACAGTATGATGAGGTCGCTGACAGTTCACATCTGAACATTCTGAGGAATACCATTATCCAGCCTTCGGACCCTACATACGTCGAAGATTTCTGGTTCAAGCCGGGCTACCTCGGAACGGCGGATAGTGCGCTCGGAATCGCCATGAGAGAGGCCGTAGTTGACTTCAATGCGACGGTAGAGGATGTTCAGCTTGACAACGATGGGAAGCTGGTCAGCATCAGACTCGACACAGTCCCGGAAGCTGTTGCTGACGTATACGGGTACGACCTGGGTTTGCTTGGAGCCGACGACTTCAAATTAAAAACCATCAGCGGCACGTTGTCTACGGCCAACTACACCATGTTGTTCACCGACTACACTGCCGACGCCAACGATGCCACTCTTACAAAGTTTATTGCAAAGGGAGTCAAAGTCCACATCGACAACAAGTCCTCTGTTGCAATGCACTCATATTACAGACACCAAATCCCGGAACGAGCAGGATTCTACGGATTCGACCAGTTCCGGACCGTCAATGGCACGAACTACCCCCAACGGACCCCTGACACGTCCAGGTCCCTCGCCAGATCCGTCTCTGGCGGTAATCACACTGGCTCCATCGGATGCAAACTCATCATCGTTCAGAACCTGCTGGACAGCGACGCGTTTCCGTGGCATGCCGACTGGTATCGTTCGCAAGTTAAGCGGCAACTGGGAGATCGCTTCGAGGATAATTATCGCCTTTGGTACAACGATAATGCGGAGCACTTTTACGAGAAAAGGCCTCCACACCGTCTTGCACTCATTGTGCCGTACAACGGCATCTACCAACAAGCTCTCCGAGACGTGGCAGCTTGGGTGGAGGATAGAGTGCCTGCGCCAGATTCCACGTCGTATACTGTTTCGGCCGACGACAACTCGGTCCAGGTGCCACCCACAGCGACCGAACGGCGGGGTATCCAACCGGTTGTTGAGCTTCTTGCGAATGGAAGATGCAGCTGTACGGTGAAAGCCGGCCAGTCGGTGACGTTACGAGCAACTGTCGAAACACCTTCCGGGACTGGCAAGGTTGTCAATGTCGAGTGGGATCTGACTTCGGAGGGCACCTTTACTGATGTAGGGCCCGCATTCACGCCGAACCAGACGGTGACGGTTGAGCACACGGTTGTCTACAACACGACGGGCAACTTTATCGCTATTGCGAGGGCGACGTCTCATCGTCAGGGAGACCAGGGTGCCGTTTATGCGAGGGTGATGAATTTGGCTCGTGTGAATGTTATTGTAGTGTAGTCTCAGGTTCGTCTCGAAGTGCCTGGTCAAATCAAGCTGTTAGCCAAATGCTCACAAAATTCCGGCTTGAAGGTGCCGTGAAAATATGAAGAGTTCGTTTCCTAGAGAATGAGGTGAATCATGATCTTTTGGGAAGTCAAGCCAAGGACCCAGGAAAGTGCATGACGGCGGAATTATTCTTCCAGGCAAGCGCAGTAAGGTGATAGAGACGGGAAGGAACCTAGTCACTCTGGTTAGATATGCCTGCCTGACTGCCTCAAATCGCGTACAAAATTCGGAAAGACAGGCCGATTCGGCCCACGCTCCTGCTTCCCCTACGATAATCATCCGCCTGCCCTCAGAATCTTTCACACAACCTTACATCTCCTCACTTCTGCAACTGCACACCAGCACACCAGCACACCAGCACACCAGCACACGCGCACACGCATACCCACATCCACACATCCTCTCAGAAGAAGTCATGGACTCCCAAGGCAGCCAAGCGACGAAGAAGCGGAGACTGGATGATGGAAACGAAGATAGTCAAGCCAGTAAGGACGACGGCAGTTCACTCGGCGTGTCTTGGCGTGGTTTCCGTCCTCGGACCATCGAGTTCGACCATCAAGCCTCCTGCAGTGAGTTTGAATCTCGCTTCGCACTCGAGATCTGGGCGACGGATGCACAGGGTGTTGAGCGTCAAATTGGAAAAATCTGGGATGAAATCAACTACGCTGGAGCCGGGAAAGTCAAGGTCATCGCAAAGAGCGCAAAGAGCGTATTGAGCGCATTGAGCGCAATGCGCGAAACGAGCAGCGACACCCCGGGGTTGGCCTCCGACGATTACATAAAGGCATTCGAAAGCCATATGAAATCACAGCAGACTATTCAAGAGAAAGCTCGTCAGGAGGAGAAGGCTCGCAAGGAGGAGAAGGCTCGTCAGGAGAAGGCTCGCAAGGAGGAGAAGGCTCGCAAGCAGAAGAAGGAGGCTCTCCGAGAGAAAACACTTGCCCTTGAGGCTCTTCAAGCGAGAAGGAGAGCCCTCCAAGAGAGTGAGAGAACCCTCCAGTATGAGGAAGAGGCTCTCCAAGAGAAGATTCAGTCTCTCCAAGAGAAGCAGACTGTTTAGGAGGGGAACAGGACTATTTAGGCGAGGTGACCACCTCGAATACCTGGAATAGGAAGAGCAATCTTGCCAGGTACAGAAGACTCACTAGCATGCAGAATAGAACAATGCCCTATCTGGTTTACCTGAGAGCCCCTCCCCACGCAGCCCATTTCCATCAGGAAGCATCCCTCCCACGTTCAATCAAACATACTGACAACCCTCCGAACACAGGCCCATCTATTGAGATTCACTACATTATAAGGTGACGGGACTGTGATACGGGGTCAACACGAGTCAACTCCTCCTGCTACCACTGCAATCGAGAACAATTATGTCAAATGCAACACGCTTTTACAGAATCATATGTGGCGTGATGTGACGAGACTGAGCATGTCTTGATGCTGACAAGGTCCAAGTACTCCGTTATGCACAGCCGTTGGGAAATAAGCTCAAGAGGAACGGGCCGATCCGATGAACATCAGTGCAGTCAACGTTGCGCTGACTTGCGTCCCTCGCAAAAGCTAATTACTTAGCGCTGCGTGCCTATTTACATGCAACGCACACTTTCCGTCAACCTGAGTTGTCTTCCTCTGTCCAGCCCAGAGCAGGGAGTCCAGGCCCTCATGTCCTTCCATCGAGTGAGATGCCCAGAGAGAAGGTACTCACCTCCATGGGCCGGTCTAGGTGCTCAGCTTTCCGTCGAGTTCCTTCCAATTTGGGAAAAGGCAAGTATCTGTTATACTGGATGGATCATTTCGCTTCCACACGTTAGATAGGCACCTTGCTCCAAATCCCTGGCTTACCATGTCACTCCATTAACGTGCCTCAATTAGTACATCCCAGAACACCAGAACACCAGAACGCCAGACCGCCAGACTATCGAAACACGACGAAAAAATGGCGACGCCGAGCCTTGAAATACCGGCTGAATGGAAGAACGAGATCGACAAGCTCTCGAGATGGTATGGGAGCGATGAAAGATATTCGGTCGCTCACGTGCAATCACCTCCCTCGACCGACGACGGTAGTTGGTTGGCCTTGGTCTTGCATATCATAGGCATGAGGGCGAGCGGAGATAATGGTATCTTGTCCAGGTACCTCGTTGGTTCGCTCCAAAAAGAAGAGGTGTCAAAAAGCGAATGGGACAGCGCTGGATATTCCGTGGGAATGAGACCCGTGGTATCAAGATACGGTGGTATCGGATTCGTCTCGGACTTTAATTGCAGATACAAGCTGATCATCATTGACGCCGATCACTCCAAGAGCGTCGACTATGCGATCTCGTTAGTCAAGTTAAGCATTCTCGCGAAGACCGAACAGACGACTATTTTGCGCTTCGTCTGGTTGTCATCTGCCCCCGTTGACAAAGATTTAGGCAGGATGCTCGCCGTTGCAACCGACAGATCAGAGACTCCCGTCACAGCTTTTCGATTGACACAGCGGAGCAATTCGTCAAATTTGTCAAATTTGAGATGGATTCAATACAAAGCGAGCGACGGGGAATACCCAGACGCTGTGATGGAAGCTATTGCTCCAGCGTATGCGATGGTTCAGGACCCGGGGCCGTCGGAATACAAGATAACGAGAACGATAGCCTTCTGGGACGGAGACTCCGAGTGGAAGCGGCATCATCTGAGACGAACGCTTCTAGCGGCCGCTCGGAAGTACTTCGCTAACGAGAAAGATACCAGATCAATCTATATCACCCCCGGTTTGATGGGAAGATCGTTGAATGATGCCAAGAACTCGTACCATTTGATTATTCTCAATAGCGAGATAAAGGAGGTATTCGACACAGAGACATCGCATGTGGTTCAGAAATGGGTGGCGATGTCGAGGGCCAAGATGCTGACTCAAATAACTTGCGCCTTGGATAAGGATGTTGAGCAGGCGGATAGAACCATCCACGCCCAAGTGGCACTACAGGACATCCTCGACGCGGAACCTAAAAGGGAATTCGAAGATATTCACCTTCCGGTATTCATCATCTATGTGATGGATGAATGTCCTGAAATTACTATCGATCGTCTTCGTGTTTGCTTCGTTATCAAGGAGCCGGCATTCGCTGAGGCTATCCGTCGGCTTTATATGTTGGGGCTCATCTACTACGGCATGGATGGAGTCAGTGTACATCTCAACATTTCCCAGGCCCGGAGGACTCTTGACTTCTTATCAACCACGGGAAACGACTTGTCAGTAGCCTGCTTTCTGAGCTGCATAACAAAGGACACGCCCGCCACGGCCCGGTCCGCGATGATCGACATTGCGGCTATCGTGCTCACGTGCCACGCTTTAAATCCCTTCTTCGTCATTTCACCCGATCACTTTGCTGACGAAGATTCCATAAACGGGCTATTGCAGCGGCATTGCATAGACGTGCCAAGCGATGTTATCAAGAGTGGCGCCATGTGGTTGGCTTTGGCTATCTTCCGCCAATACGAAGAGGAGTGGCATACTGACAAGGGTTTCATCAAATTTGAGGATGGGACGCTGACTCTTTCATCCAATACATGCCGCAAAATCAGTTCCCGTGCAAGAAGGATCGACCATCGTGTGAACAACTTGATCCCGGAGGCTCAGGACAACGCATCAGAAGCGATGCTCAGAATTTCTCATGAAGACGTGGGAGAAATTCAAAGGTGCATGGTTCGTGCTTGGGCACACAACGTCCTTCTCCCCGACGGCAGAGGTGGCCTGGACAGCATCTTTTCTGGGACCTCGATCAAGCTAGATCCCGACCAAGGTTTGCGACTTCCTCAGGACGCGCCACTACACGTACTCAGCTTTGGATTCGCTTTGTATGAAACGGAGTACTATGCATGGCTTCCGACGGTCATACCGGAACAGATTCTGTTCGATACTGTTGGCGAAATGGGCTGTGACCTGGTGGACTTTGCTACGGTATATTTTGAGGAGGACGATGAAGATTATTAGAAAGGCTGGTCGGAAGACGAATCGGATCAAGCTGACGAAGCATAGGTGGGTAGTCAAGACCTTCCTGAAACGACATTCTCTATTGAATCGTTCGCCCACGTAGAGCCTGCGCATGTTTCGCTGTAAGACGAGAGAGTTGAGGGCATCACTTCTAGGTTAATAGACTCTTTCTTACCTAAAGCTTCTCAAGTGAATTATGTCTTGATCCCTCCCGGGTCACTGCGTGATATGTCAATCGTAGATGAATAGAGCTGGCAGTTTAACAAGGCGGTAAGTAGTCGTAAAAGAACCTTCAACTCGTCGAAGATCAAGTACTTCAAGCACATTATCAGGTCAAATGGAACCAGTCGGCTTTATGAATAGTCGTATCTTGTGTACGTCATTCAGAGGAGAGAGTTGGGAGGAGCTCCCAAAAATCAATTGGTACTGTGTGTATCTACCTAGGATCCTTGAGAACGAGATACAAGCCTTGTGGCATGCCCAGAATGCAATCAAACTCCTGAAACCTTTTCGTTTGTTCAAAATTTTGCGTTGTATTTCTTGCTACATTCACCCACATCTCTCTGATGAAATCTCCTACTTTCCTCGTCTCTTAGAACATATCCGTCCCTTTCATGTCTCCATATTATCGGCAGACTTTTGAAGTCTTTGCACACAACTTGAGCCTTGCGTTTTGATTTACTTTCAAGGGTATGATCTCACCTATTTAGACTTCACAGGCGCGGACTTGGTAGCCTTCTTCTGTCTCTCAAGAGCCATGGCAGCTTTATAGATGCAACAGTTCTTCTTATGAATCTCGATGTCGATCCCACTCTTCATGACGATGTTGCAGTGTTCGACCAAGTCCCCTTCACCATGCTTCTGCATGTGCGTGCGATGGGTATCGGTGTCTAACTTCTGATCCCAGTAGCAGCCGGATTGAGAGCAACACTTAATCGGAGGCTGCTGGGTGGTAGACATCTTCGCTTCGTGGTGCCAAGGAATTTGGTGTTGAGAGAAAAGGGACTCAGCAGTGCGCGATCAGGAATCGGGAGAAGAAAAATCGATGGCAGCGAAGAGACGACATGAAGAGATCGTGAGAGGGATCTTATACTCCTATTTATACTTGATCATCTTAGACACCGCTCTTTCTCTTTTCAAAGACTATTCCGACAATTTGAGAGGGCTGTGGGCGACGAGGTGGTCCATCAGCCACGTGATATCGCTCCATGAGCGCGTTATCTACCCATGAACGCTACCACTTCTACCGACGCGGTTGCCTCACGCGTTCTGAAGGATACTATTGCATTACGCAGTGTCATGGGTCGGATAGACAGGAGTTACATGAGACCAGGTGGCTGTACTTGGCTAACCAGGGCATCCAGGGATTGGCGAATGGCCGAAGGCAGACTGGGAATTGTCATGCCGGTAACCATCCCCGGGGGGCAAATTTGTTCCCTTGAGCAAGATGAGCGTCTGCAGGTAGCCAGGGATTTCAACGAGAATGCAACCTGGGGGCTGAATGCTGGGCTGTTCTTTGAGAGCCGACCATCTCGGACGACTCTCCGCGGCGGTTCCTCCAGAGCTTTGTAGCTTTTATCGCTCAGGTTGTTTCTCGGGCCCTAAAAACATGAGCCAGACCCTGCGACCCTCAGAAACTCCGACCTATAGTGGGCAGTTGCCTACGCCTACGGCCAGCAATGGGTGTCATTGGGGTCGAAATACTACCAACTCTGGCTGGAATAGCTTCATGTCAACTAGTAAAGCACGCGAGATCGAAGGTGAATCTTTCGGTAATCAATCTGCTATAATCTGAACCCTAATGACCGAGGAAGCGATTTACTGCACATATTCCCACTGCGGTGTGAGAGCGGCCGCATTTCTGGCCTCCCAAGCATCGAAACCCCAGTCATGGGGGAGAACTCCCCCCCTTGTCACCTGCATCCTGCCATGCATGTTGGAGCAAGGCAGCATTGAGGTTGTGTGCGAAGGGAGATTACAGAATCCGATGCTATCCGCCTACTTAGTAACTCGGTAGAGGGAAACGCATGGATTAAGTAGTCTTAGCTGCGAATGTTGCCACGGGCTTCCAACCCCTACGAGAGAATCATGCGCTGACTCTATGTATGCAGTCTATGACTCAAAGCCTTGAAGCTGCCGGCATGCATACAGGCATGGTGGGTGATCTGCCCGCTCGGGGCGTAGGAAAGGCCCTTTCCGGCTTGCCATCATGCCGGCTTCTCCAAGCGGACCATCTTCTGACATACCCCAGTTGCGGATCTCTCTCCGCCTTGGAGAAATAATCCATCATTTTCGAGGGTTGAGAGACGAACACGTGGTGTTCGACCACCCGTTTCGTGCTCACCGGCTGCTGTTCAGGAGCGTCGACGGCATTACGGGCGTTTCGAACACCACAAGAGCTTGCATGACGCTCCCATGGCCGCTCGGTATGGCATCATGCGGTCTCACTTGGCCCGGAGATGGTTTATTATTCGCTCCTCAAGGTGCTGTAGGGTGAACCTGCTATTGCTAATCACAACCTTTTGGAATTTGGCACTGGCACCTATTGACCTCCCATCTAGTGGAAAACTTCTGAGCACAAAGCTGTGAACAACGGTGTCTGTTTTCTCGCGTCTATGGGCATGTGTGATGGAAGCAGATCGTGAGCTCCATTTGGACGCGTGACTGAAACTGTCGGTGCAGAACGTTGCGGGATCAGAGGTACGAGAGGCAGTGCACGTAGACATGACGACTTGCTGATCCCCTTCTTCCTACCTCACGTAGCAGTGTACTTCAACGGGAATCTCTAATTAGTATATGTCATGATATTTTACTCATACCTCCCTCAACATTCATCACTCCAGCACCGCGTTGCTCCCGGCCGTGGCACCGTGAGGGCATCACGTCACGTCGATCCTGGCCATCAGATTAGTATCATGAGATGCTCAGCAAGACATCCGGCTTCGCCATTCTATTCATTGTCAAATGCCAATATGATGTGTATTCCGTGTCACTGGCCAGAACCTTTCTTTTGGCGTAGCAGCAATATCTTGCTTGAAGGCTCACAAGATATAGGCCCTCCTTATCGCAAAAGACGGCAGACCACGAGGTATTCAGACGTACCCCTGATGCCGTCCTAGCAGGAAGCTTCTTACCTGAGACGGGTAACTGCCAACATGTATGCCCATCTAGAGCGTTGGGAAGGTGCGGTTAATCTCTGCTCCTCTCTCCTCGCCATGCTCCTGCAGTCGCCACATCCTCGTTTCTGCAATTCGAGTCTCTGAACCGGGCCGACGAGCTCAAGGTGTTCTCTCGTGCTTTGGAATTGAAGATGAAGGACTGGTCTCAAAGCAAAACCATTGTATCTCGTGGTCTAGGTGAAGGAGCAAGGACATGCTACTAGGATTAGGAGTAGGTAGACATGCCGCCTGCTCAAAAGGGGGGGAGAGCTCGCTAAACAATACCGGACTAGGCCGAGACCTCTTCCAAGAAGATGCGAGGAGTATAAGAGCAAAAGTAGAATCGTTTCTCGCGGCCTTCGGTGGGACATTGCGACTTTTCTTCCTATGTTGATACGTGTTTTTGGGACCTCAAGTTCGGTATCGGCTTCATCGATCGAGAAAGGGTAATAAACGCGGACTCTTGGTCTAATCATGAGCAAACGTCAGCACAGGTCTTTCACTTGTCGTCAATCGAGGTCAAGAACGAAAGTCGGTACGTCTACCTTCCGCACCCGCTCGAGACAAGTATTTTCCGTAGGCCTACCGCGATCCTAAACTGAGGCTTGAGGTACAGCAAAGTTTGATCAAAAGTTAGACCGGTAGAACATTGAAAACGAGAGATGATTGAATAGAAACGTCAAAGTTTTGACGAAATTGCAGAGACCCAGGTGCCATCAAGAAGGGAAGCACCAGGAACGACAACTTGAGGGCAGCCGTGTATTGCCAGGAGAAAATTTCAGTGTCGAGACGATGTGAGGCAACCAGGCATCCAGCCGCACGTCAGCTTCCTACATGACGAGATTTCATCCCATCAGAGGCATCATTTGGCAAGGCAGATTGATCGGGCTGTGTATCCTGCTTTGGTCGACTCGGTTTACAGCGAGTTCTCCCAATGTAACCTCGAACCAACCGACTGTCAACCCGGCCGCATGCGAGAGACCGTTCCTGCGAACGCAAGAAGCGGTCGTGACCCGGATGCTCCCAATTATTACAGACTCCTGTTTCCTAATCGAGTGGTTGACGGCGCTTAATTTTTTCCACTTGGCGCGAACGTCATGGACGTCCACCACCGGGCCTGGTGCCCTGCCACGTTGAGTGTGAAGAGTCCCCTTGAGCGTTTCCAAATTAGTCACTTGACTACCAGCTCCAGTTCAGTCGTTAGGTTCAATAAAAGTACTCTGCAGCTCTGCCCCGGGCGTGGTTGATGCCGGTGTGGTCGACGCCGGTGTGGTCGAGTCTTGGATGCTCGGCCGCGCTCGTACCAGGACAGGGGCGCGATTGCAGCCCCGACTCATCTCGTGCGAACCATTTAGCGAGGTGTATACTGCTAGGCACCGTGTCCGAGACGGCCAGAAATCTTTTGGAGGAAGAAGAGGTTGAGCTCCCACTTGCATCGCGGCCGGAATGCTGATCCTGCGCTCCCCGTTGTTGACCAGGTGGGTATTCGAGGAGGCCCTCGCGAGGTGTGCCTCCCAGACGCGGCGATCATGCATCAAGCGATTCGACGAGGCGGACTAGCTCTCGAACGGAATGATTTTCTTCTCTATTCGATTGAGTTCTACCTGGTTTCGCGATGCTCTGCTGGTCGCGGGGCCCAGAAAAGGGGGAGGGGGTCGTGTCCTGCACTTTCGTCCGCCCGCTGCGTTGCCAGCTCGGCTGGCGCAAGGGAAGAACCCGCAAAGCACACAAAAGATGGCCCCTTTCAGTTGCATGCTATGGTTACGACGTATTCCGGTCGACTGTGGCAACTCTGGCTAGCTGCGTCCTAGAATCGGGGCCAGTTCCAAGCCATAGTACTCACGTCTACCGTTCATAATGGAGCCCCCTCCACCGTCCATCTCTATCGTCCGGCATCACTGAACCAGCCCAGATCTGTCAGTTTGGAAATGGGACAGGAAATTTGCTTCTTTCAATAAAAAAATCATGCAGCTGAAGGATTTCACCGCTGGTCAACTCCTCGCTCTAGCCTCGAGGTTGCAGCAGAAGTAGTGCAACTCTGTGTGTGTACATCTGGACTTCCGGCATTGATCGCAATTCCGGACGCAAAAGAAACTAAAGACTTCTCTCCAAATCGTTACATGTTTGTCATATTTCGCTTTTCGGTTTCTGTGGTGATGCTTGTGGTGGCGCGAAACATTAGTCTTGGGAGGGCACACCCCTTCAACACCACCTTATGAGCAGCGGAATATTCTTCTCCAACCCGGCAGTTCAACAAGGCGACGAAAGGCAACCGTGACTATTCTAGATAATCTCTATCTCATGCCTTAATCATGAAGAGCGGCATCCTTCATCCTTCCGTGGGGTAGGTGGGTTCGAAAATTGGGCCAGACCGGGTGATCTACCCGGAGGCCGACCCAGGTCTGGACAACAGGATGTTACAATACCTACCTCCGGGAACGACTCGAGTTATGAACGCTGTGATATTGACTGTTTCAAAGTTTGCACATTCAGCCTGTTTGGCTTGTCCTTGCCCTGTCTCACGCGTTCTCATCTCGCCCCCAAGCCGCGGCATCAACGGCAATGTACCCCTATCCACTACCGCAGAGTCTCAAGGCCCAATTGTCTATTCCAGTTGAGTCTGAGAAGCTCTTTTGAGCATCTTATTACGTCACATCTGAGCATGCTGCCAGGAAAGGCCAGTGTATTCCCACTCCATCTACTCGCCGGGGGATAGGACAAGTCGGGATGGTCAGGTTCAATGTCTGGGCACGGCAAGTAGGTTGTCTCTGAGATATGAGTCTCAACAGAGCCAGCTTCATAAGGTAGTTCCTGGTGTAGTGAAAAACTTTTGCTATTCTATCTAATCTATCTAAAATAAGTCCTCCAAATGAAGTAGACCAAGATGTGTATCCATTCTTACAACTCCATCGCTGTCGTCATCATCCAAGCTCCACAATCTTACATTGCTATCCAGAGTGATGACTCTGGTATCCTTTTCGGACTAAAATCCGACGCAAAGCTACAAATTCCCTTGTATCGTACATCTTCGCCAGTGACTTCGCTTCTCGGGACGTCGTGCTTGACAGTTTTTCAGACCGATGACCGATCTAGTTCGAGGGACTAGCGGAGCAGGCCGAAGAGCCGCATCTAACCGTCTGATAGATGTTGCCGTTGTTCGTGCCATTGATGACTATCCCGCCATGATGTACGGGTCGGGCTTGAAGTTCGCCTTCAGGAGTGCCCTCGGAGTCGACACTTCCATCGCCCTCGATAGACGGTACGGGGACCTCCTCTGCCGCAATGGGGACCGGAATTCGCTGTCGGCAAAGTTCACAGGACGTTCTGTGGTTTCGAAAGTGATGGTCGGTGCAGATTGTGTACACTCCGCATGGCATCAGGACTGGCGGTCCATGATTATTGTTGAAATGCTGAAAAAGGGTGCAGTCTGCGGTGGCCTGGAACCCGCATTTCCGCTCGGGACATTTATCGAGGTCTTGAGGGGCCATATTTGACTTGTAAAGCGCTTGGAAGTCGTCAAGAAATTTGAGAAAGCTCGAGAGCGGGCTTTAAGGGGGAATGTGAAGATGCCGGATGTCGATGAGCCACTTCCACCTGATCTCAAATGAAGGGCTCTGCTCATTTATATACTTGAATCTCCATACCTCTAGGTAAACTTAGCTTAGACTCAGCGAAGACTTGAGGTGGCATCCAGCTGTCATGAAAACCCAACCCTGAAGTACATGATAAGATTAACTTTGGCCTACTTCGCATCACTAAGCTACGGCTTAGGGCACACATTTGCTTCCCCGTCCAACTAGTCGCCCTCTCGGTTCTTTACTTGATCAATGCGGAGATTGCAGGCAACGTAGAGTGTGTGGGGGAAGAGCCTGCCGGTACCCGCGCAATTCCTAGAAAGCCGTCTCCCGAGGTGGTAGGGATTCACGTTCACTCCGAGAGGTCATTTACTGGTCCCTGAAGAGCGTTGTCGGTGAAACTCGTAAGCACACCGCTTGACAGGATGACGAGCGCAATTGGAACAAAACTAGGTCCCCCAGGTCCGAAGATGAAGGCTGGATCTAAGCAGGAGATGCAGATCCGAACCCGGAGCTAAGCTACATCAGAGATATTCGTGCTTGCAACAGTGCCACCAATGAACCAGGCTTTTCAGACTAGCCAAGTTGTTCGCAATGTAGTAACCAGGGAATTCCAATCAGCACTTTGCACTAAGACTCATCGGGGCCTATTACAACCGTGTCAGGCTTGCGTCCTTCGACGCGTCCATTCTATCTACGTCGGCTCCGAGCCAATCGAAATCAGTTGAAGAGAAGATCCTGCGACGGAAAACCTGCAGTCGAGGCCCAACAACTGGCACCGGTGCAGTGCAGCCGGCATGATGCATCTGGCATTTGCTGGAACGAACATCTGAGCGACGGAGGACAATGTCACGCGAACCGGGGTTTTTGAGTGAGCTCGCCGGACACTGTCTGGCGAACCTAGGTTTTTGGGTGAGCTCGCCGGGCATTGTCTGGCAAACCAGGGTTTTTGGGTGAGCTCGCCGGACATTGTCTGGCGAGCCGGGGTTTTTGAGTGAGCTCGCCAGACATTGTCCGGCGAACCAGGGTTTTTGGGTGAGCTTGCTGGACATGGTCTTTTGGGCGGCGGGGTTGGCGGTGGCAGGTCGCTAGCTGCCAGTCTCGCAGCAGACCCTTGTTTCCTTTCTTTTTAGGAAATTTGAGTGTGAATGGGCAGAACCGCGTCTATCCGTAAAACGCTGGGGCCCTGAATGTAACTTCGTTCCAATTCTTTTCAAACGGCTGTGCCGCAGCTTACTGAGGCGGGCAGGCCGCAAATGACCACTCTCCACCAGTTCCAGGCTGCCAAGCTTGCCTCAACTTAGAAGAGCTGATGGTGAACCTGTAGCCAGTGAACGAAGAGATCTTCAAACGCATGCTGATTGCACTCGGAGTCTGTCGCGGTTGAATTTGAGGGTGAAGCAACCCTCAAATCAATTTCTATTGGTTTCTGTGGTCAGCTAGGTATCCTTTTCATAGCATTCTTCTGGCCGTTTCGTCGGCCGGATTCCTGTCTGTTTCCCCGCGTATTCGATCCTTTCCACGTGCCCCAAGGTGTTTGCAAGGATACTTAGACTCGCTTATGGGTGGTTCGGTCTTACAGATGGAGGAAAAGTATGCAGCTGACCGTTAGATTGTCGCGCCTGACTATGCTGCTGGGGCAGCTTACCCGCCCGCACAGCGGCTCGAACACTCAGGATTATGACGGACATGCTGACAGGGATACATTGACCGGTAGATAGTCCTCATCCCAGCCCCGGGACACGGAAGCTATTCCCCGTCACAGACGGTAAGGCACGAATAGGCGCAGACGTATCCTTACTGCGGTATATCCGTAGTTCGGTCAAGGCCTCGCGTCTCACAATTCAAAAGGGCCCCCCTGTCCTACGCGCCACAAGTCCTCCGAAGTCCGAACATCTGCGATCAAGCTGGTACCGAATGCGCTCTCTGTTGCTTATAAAAGCCTCAGTGTTGGCGTGAGCCGAAACGAGCTTAATTGAACCTCATTCACGTGCATCACGCGCGTTCTTATGAATACTCGACTATCACAACGTCGTGGTAGCGGCCTTTTCAACCCAGGATATGAATCCAATTGGCGAAGTTGACTGCACGGCACTTTCGAGGAACGTTCAGGAGGAGCCAGACCCGCCAAGCTGGCAGACGTAAAGCAGTATATGGACATGGGAGAACAAATCACAGCACAGTGTCTAATAAGTATTTACTTGTAAACTCTCTTTTTCTTCATTGGTCGGTTGACGTACTATGCGTGAATCTCATAATACTGGGTCATTGACGTTCTTGCGAGATTAGTTGGCACGTCGACCGCATCTTTCGTGTCGGCATCACCCCACCGAGCTGAACACACCATTGCCTGGCCCCAAATTGCCGACACATCGACGTAAATTAGTCCCGGACGGTGGCACGAAGAAGGTATCTCTCCTTGTCCAAAGGGAAGATGAGCACCATCTGCGGCTACCAAGAGCCTGCGTGCCCATGACCAACCGTGAAGACGTGACCGATGCAGGAGAATTAGCAGAGACAACAGTTCCTGAGGCCCAGTCTCAGGCGCAGAAGAACCAGGTGCCAGGACTCCAGAAGCAGGGCCCGGTTGGCGTGGTCAACCCTGAACCCATGGCTGTGATTCAGCCCGTCGTCTTATGCTCGTTTTGGTGTATGCCATGCCGGCCCCACTGGAGTGAACAAGGGGGGGAGGACAACATTTAGATGTTGTCCTCCCCCCCTTGTCAAGTGGTCCCCGCAAACTCGCCTCTCTGACAGCTCCTTAGGTATGACGGACGATGGCGGTAAAGAAAGTTGCCTCGGAGCCATCCGTGGAACCTGCAAATTGAGAAGACGTCACAGACTGCGAGCAACCATCGCTCGCGATGGGCTGGATATTGATTATTCAATTATTTAGAGGGCAAGTGTCAATAAAGTCATCATTTCGTGTAGTGAGCCCCCAGAACACAACTCACCCATGTCGTGATAGGGCTTCTACCACAACTGGAGACCTCACATCTCTACTTGTGCATGCTCGAATATTCTCCTTCGAAGCCAAATTGACGATCAACTGCAAGAATTGAAGTCCGTTCCCGAAGTGAGCGTCTCATGGCACATGCACTAGATCCACACTGTCGGTGAGATTTTTGACAGAAGCCGGTGATAACTCTAGCCAGAGGCTCTACAGCTTGCCAGGAGCGCACCGGAGGGGGCTTCTTCTCTTTCCTAAGGAGATGCTTGATATCATAACACAACGACGCTGTTATACAGTCTTCACGATTCCTGATTGGCTCTACTTATCCGCGGCGCCGACTGTTGTCCCCTGTAGGTGAAAAGCCCAGGAAGTCGATCATAGGCCCAGAAGAGATATACCATAGAGGGAATTTTGCCATCATCATCTTACTCCACTCAGCCACCCCGCTCTGCAATGTTCCCTCTCCTCCATCTTTCGCGTTTTTTCTTTGGTCCTGGTGAGCCTAGACTCGCCGCAACGAGGCCCGCCCCCGTAATCTGGGTCGCCATCTGGCCGCCTTACCTCGGAGCCGCATGGTTTGCGGACTAGAGGGGGGAGTTGGGCAATATTGATCTTCGGGGTCACAGTGTTACCCCAGGCCACAGCTCAAGTTGGCCGTGCTCGGTGCAAGGTGCGTTCCGTCTTGACCTCGAGGAGCTACGGACCGCCCGCCGCCGCCTTGACGGACGCCTATTTTTCCAGATCAACATGTGTTCTTATATGCATGTGCTCCGCCTTAATTGTTTCCTAATTATCTTCTTCGAGACATCTTTGTGTTATAGTCTGCCCTCTCGCGTTATCTTGAGTCTGGCATGGTTATCTCGCCATCTGAGGTACGAAGATAAATTGTATTATACAAGGGGCTTGCTCATCAGTCTTATTCTGACATGTTGCTAACTCCCTGACGCCTTGCGCCAGTCATAGATCAAATGGCGTCTCTCGTAACAAACCCCGAAATTCCACGAACGTCAACCAACTTCATCATCGATGCTCGAATGTCCACATATCAGTCAACGAGTTCAAGATGAAAAGGAAAGCTGTCGAGATTTTGAATGCAGTCAACGTGAATTTGGAAGGTGGTGTAGGCTGTGAATACGGCTCTTCGACCTACTTCCACCCAACAGAGGAATCGCGGGCTACGCCCACTTTCTTCCTCCTTCCTCATACCGATACGCGATTCGATATCAGATTATTGAGCTTCCTTACGGGTAGCGAGCTTCCATCACAGCAAGATAACTATCGAAACGGCCTACGAAGTGTCGGCTGTGACTCTATCAAGTTAGGAGCCGCGATCATTGCAGAACAAAACGGGTTCTATTCGTCAGATTAGGGGCTTCAGATGCGACTCATTCGGCTCACTCGATTCCATGGCAACGTGACCCAACGGCCCCTACTCTCTGTAGAAGGGTCAAATACTCGAAGCGAGGTAAATCAACCCTAGTATTATTACGCCGTGTACGTTGTTGTCAGACAATCCAACCTCCGGTTTGGCGGGCTATGGGGAAGATGAACATGCTGCCTCCGCAATTCCGCCAAGGGCATCCAAGCAGAAGGCTACGGCCAAAGCAGAAGGCTCTGATAAGGTGACTATCATCAAATTCGCTCCTTGCACACTTTCTAGGCACGGTTTGGTGTGCATGATGGGGGGTCCACAACTATGAACAAGGGAGGGGGGGAATCATGTTCGATGATTCCTCCCCCCCCTGGTCGGACGAACCCGAGCCAGGGCCCACAAGGCCGAATAGAGTTGACGGGTGAATTTGACCTTCAACATGCTACGTCATGTGACAGCCAGATAGGCAGATTCTAATTGTCTTGTTAGACACGGCTCGACATGAGCTAAGGCATTTGAAGTGCCTCGAGCAGCGTCCTCGGCCGTCACCGGCGGTCTCCCCTCTTTCATTGGCCCCACTTCGGCGCACGGCCCTCGGCCTTTTATCGTCTTATCGGCCCATCTCGCCGGGTCCGGATTGTAGAGGCATCTATCATATTTCAAAAGATGTTGCTACAGAATCATCCATATCTATATATCAGAAGTTCAGGGCGCTGACTACGGTCCAGATCAAAAGGATGATTTAAAATGTGCCTCCATCAAACGTCGATCGATGCACTCATCATTCCCCGTCATTATTCTCGTGCGAAATCCTGCTGCGTCCCTGGAAGATAGCAAGGTACGATACTCTCCAGGACGTACAGGGCTTGAATGGAAGACTACTCCTTTAACATCCAGCTGCTTGCATATTTACTTAAGCGTATGTACTCAATACGTGTATAATTTATGCATCTTTTTCTCCCTGCAAAGCTCGTGTAACTTGCCAAGACGGCTGGCCAGGTACGAACGAATCAAAGATTAATAGCCGCACGGAGGGCGCGGGATCAGCTCCAGCCTTCTTGGAAGTGACCAGACGACAGGAAAATGGAGGTGTTGACTCAAGTGGCATCAAGACAGCTCCTATGGCACCAATGGCAAGTCTACGCGGGATTGCTGCCCTCAGATTGGGCGACTCTCTTGGTCAAATCAGAAGCCACCTGCCCCTGGACCATGAATGGAGTTGCGTCATACATAATCGTAGGTTCGGAGAGGGGGCAGGGGGTGGGAAGCAAGCCTTGTCTACCTCCTCTGCTGTCCCTGGCGTGGAGAGACAGAGCTCAGAACCAGCGAGGCGAGACTGATCAGCATTCGTCAAGTCACATGCGGGACTGGAAACACTGGCACAAACACCAACAGTCAATTGGGCACTGGAGGTTCCGGACAGTCCCAGTTCATGCCGGATTTCTATGGCAACCCCCTGCCCTCGCCGCGCCCACTCTTGGAAAGCTGATGTTCTTACCGGTAGCTAGTCGTGTTCCCGGCTGTCCTTCTCGGGGAATCAGGTGTGAGGCGCCGGTACAAGCAGAACCGCGAGTGATGCAGAGCTTGGGAAAGTCCTGCTCGGTAAGTGACCCCGAATGCCAGGATGCTTCTGGGTCGTTGACTGAGAAGGAAGACCGAAACGCAGATGCCGATGAGCAACAGCAAGGATCCAGCTTCCTGGCCTCCACGCTTCATCTTACTCGTTCCCTTCAACATGTGTTTCTCACCGTAGAAGACCACAACCATCTGGACTACCCTCTCTCTGCTCACCCGTGAGATCCGCACAACAACTTTTGCTGCTTTCGAATTGATCGATATTGAACTAATTCTATTGAAGACCATCTGCCCAACAGGATATCCCTCCTAACTTTAAATAAGACCTCACACGCTAAGGAATGCACTTCGGTCCATTGCGGGGAGCCAAACATCTAGAAACCATTCACACTTTGACAATCCTCGGTCCATTGCTCATTCCCTCCAGTGGACAGCTCGTTCATCGCATCGTGGTAACTGAGACGTATGATCAGCCACGAACCCATGTCAAGACGATCTGATAAGCAGCTTACTTGAAGTTTCCTTCTGCGGACCTGGCTGACTCCGCGAAAATGTTCGAGCAAGGGTATGTGGAAGTGTCTTCAACTTTGCCATTACCGTTGGTCATGCCTCGTTCCATTGTAGCGTCCCCAACGGCTGGATTGAACCAAGATGGCGGCATCTGAGGGCCAACGGTGCCGTCGACTGGGATAGCCTGGGTTCCGGCATCAGCAGGAATGACGAGGTAATTCCATACTGGATATATGGAACCCGCCGTTGAGGCTATGTTTAGACGGTGTTGGTCATTGCCTTCGACTATGATTGACTCCACGAGACATGGGGCACTGAATCCTGGAGAGAGATCTTCGAAATAAACGGTTTCCGATTCGATTCCCGGGTTCCTCTGGCTTTCGATTTGGCGGCTTCGAGGATATTTGCATTTCTTGCACAGGATCCGATGGCGCTTGATATTGTCTTTCCTTGGTTTAAGAAATTTGCCGCAGAGCATTCCGACGGGTGCTGGGTGGACGGTCTCGACATGTCTCTTGTAATTGCCTCTCGTGCCGAATGTCTTGTTGCAACATGCGAATGTCTTGGTAGAAGTCATGGTGATCCGACTTCTCGCCTTTGGTTATGATACGCAGGTCTGTAGAGTTATATTCGTCGTCACTACTATGTCTTCAAAAAGCTGGAATGAAGAAGATAAATGTCTACACTCGTTTCTGGCAATCATCGAAGGAGTTGTGACCATTTAAAGTGTGCAGGATTGAGGGTAAGCCCTTCCAGTACGGACGAGAAGAACAAGGCAACTAGAGAAAGCTTTCCAATAGCTTTGCGGATACGAGCATAAGGAAGACGCCATGACGCAGAGACACAGCTTCGCAGCTTCTGACAGGATCAAGTCGAAGCGTGGCTTTCTAGACTGAGGATAGAGCAAGTCACGAAGAGGTGGAATACCCTGTCAGAAGATAAGATGGCGCCCAGTCAAATCTGAAGCTCAGGAGCAGATGCGAAACAAAAGATATATTCAGAGATAGTTAAGGCACACTGCCGTATGAGGGGTCAAGGTAGTAAACAGCCGGTAGAATGGTCAAATCGATCATCCGTAACACACGGTGGCCGAGAGAGGGAAATGCCACCTCCAAGCGGTCATCTTGCGGAATAGAGGCAAGGTGAAAACGAAGGAGGGGTAAAGAATGGACTTTTACAGTCAACCATCGGCTTTGAGGAAGACAGCTACTCCGAACTCGGCGTCCCAATGAGGTACTGTTATCTAATATATCTCGGCTTTACGTATCTAGCTTGATAAACAACGTACGCCCGTCCGAGAGGTAAATGGCGGAGGCCAAGCCAGGCGGCTGGAATCAAGTGTTGGATGACCATGTCAGGCATCAAGAGCAGGAAGCTTCGGAAGCCTGACGCGGACCAGAGGATTGAGATGGCTAGGGGTGAACTGAGGTACGCACAGTGTGACAATATTTCTCCGTAATGGACAATAATCGTATAAGCATATCTGGTCAATGGAATGAAGAGGAAATGACTGAAGCGACGCTGGATATGAATTTCACCCATGAGCTCGACTTATGCAATTGTCAGAAACTACCCTACCCACTAAGCGGTACAGCTTAACCAATCTTCTCTCGGCCGTTGAGTACATGAAAAACGGATACCATGGCCACAGGAGGAGTTCTGTCCATTTTGGTTGTGTTCTGAGGATGCTCAAAAGTGAGGCGAGAAGCATTGCCAACACCCCAGGGTCATCTTGAGGTTGCTCGCGAGTCAAGGGTGGATGATGAAGGCATACACCCCTCTACAAACACACGCCTCACTGGACTAGCGTTCCTCTGTCCTAAAAAATCGAAAGTCCATAAGTGGAATAGACTCAGAACTCGACGCCCGGAAGGACCGCAGCTGAGGAGGTGGCTGTTTCGAGGCAGGCAGAGTACCATGACGGTTTCCCAAGAGACCATCATCTGGCTTAATCCACGCTGTTGCCCGAGGAAGTGGGTACTTGGCAAGGACGAGGCTCAAAAGATGAAGCTGGGGCTCTCTGTTTGGGGGTATATCGCCTGCCCCGAGTTTACTCTTCATGTCGTTCGACCTCCTTTTCTGATTATCATCAAGGGAGCGATTGCCTCTTTCTCAAGCCTTTGCTGGATTTATACATAATTGGTCAGCCATTGAGAGACAGCAATATGGGTGCAACAGCTCGGACCTCTGGAAGTTATTGCCTCTTTTGCTAGATTGGAATGGAAGAAAAAAGACGTGGAATGCCAATTGCTAGTTCGGGGGTTTACGGAATGTTCCTGTTCAGCTTCGTTCTTGACTCTGATCGATGCATCAGCACGGGACGTCCCGCTCAGTAGGCGTCCATGTAAAATTTGATCAGCACTTGGCTGAGTATGGATGTTGAATTATGTTCATTGCCAATTCAACTGTCGATTGTATGTAGAATCGGAGAGTGCAGCAGTTTACAGCTGGTGTAGCTTGTTGACGAGGGTACCGCTATTGCGAGTGAGACAATTAATCTGCATGGCATCGCTCGTTTTGCCCCTCCTTCCCTTCAAGCCTTTTCAAGACCTTCTCCATCCCCATAGCTGGGGGTTCTGCCAGTGATAAAGAACCGCAAGATAAACTACTAAAATGGCTCTTTGGGGGCCGGCACTCCTATGGTGGAATTTCAAGACCCATGTGGGGAAAGGTTATGTTACTATTGCCATCGTGGCGACGACTTGCTTCGGGTCAGTGAAGAAGTCGTTTGCCGTCGTTAAACTCGCACTCTCGCCTATCGAGAAATCGCTTGTCTTATCTTCACTTGAACTTCTGATATCATTTCAGCTCACCTCAGACTCGACTAGATTATGCAGTCGGCTCAATGGTCTAGACATCCAACGACACGAAACATGTCTAATGATTATAGTAAAGGATGACTTTGAATCTCATCTGTGACTAGTGGCATATCTAGCCTGGCTTCAGGCTGCTTCCGGCCGCTCATGCACGCCTAACACCCACTCCAAATCGGCGAACAAAGGCTTCTTATCTCAACGTTCCAACGGTAGATCTTTGGAGAAGGGGGGAGGGAAGGCGCTCAGAGTTAGCACCTGAGCTTATTTGGACCACATATTAAGAAATTCGAGCACTTGTTCCGCTGTATAAGACGCTATCACGGACTTGATTGGTCTCAGAACCCATCCGCTCGTTCGCCCATAACCATGGCGCCGCCACCCCCGAATCATGTACCACCTGATCCATTGAATTCAGACATACATTATCGGTTTCCATGCAATCCGCGCCCGAGTTCCAAGTTTCATGTTGTGCTAGCGACGCAGCGTGACTTGTGACTCAATCCGTGCTCCCCGCCGAGGTGAGGCTCCGGAGCCCATGGGGCAGCCGACATGGACCCATAATGAACCGGCGACTGTCCCCACCTTTTGTCGGGGATTCGGACCCGTGTGGCCCACGATCGGCGGTTTAGGCGAGGACATTAATGCAAGCACTCAAAATTCTTCAAGAAATGTGTTTTCATGCAATTGATAAGCTGAGTACTAACAGACTGTCCTTTCAATATCCTCCCGTGCTCGTGTAAACAAAATTCTGCCCCATATGCTTAGCGCAACGTCCCTGAACGACCCTAACCCGACTTCTGTGGACTTCGTGATGCTCCATTCCTCTGACTTCGGGGTCACTTTTCTGACAAAAGATCTTGTTGGCATTCTGATTCAGCCTTCCATATCGATCTAAAATCCGAATATGTAAATGGTCAGTCCTTAGGTACAGCCCTTGTCAAAGCCCCGGGGCTCTTTAGATTGCAACCTACATGTAAAAAAGCCAAGGCATTGGCTGTCCAGCGCATTCCAAGGCGGCAGATCTCTCAGTTCAAGATATACTCGACGTCATTCTTTGTGAGCTGACTATGAGCGACGAAGACCTTGGGCTTCCATGGAGCCCCATCGATGATGAGCCAAAGCATCTTCTCGGTGTTGGTCGGAAGCGCTGCGTCAGTTTTGAGTGAAAGAGCCTCGTTGGTGTTGATCGGGAGAGGCTCGTCGGTGTTGAACGAGAGCGCCTCGTTGGTGTTGAGCCAGGGCATCTGTTCGATGTCGAACGAGAACATCTCTTCGGTGTTGAGCGAAAGTGTCTCTTCGGCGTTGGCCCGAAACGGCTCTTCGGTGCTGAGCAAGAGAGTCTGCTGAGAATCTATTGCAGCCGGCGGTTGGACTTTCTGGCATGGGAGGCATTTACCCATGTGGCGTTTGCCGTTGAATACGTTGTATTTCAGCACTTTGTTGCACGGCATCTTGTACCAGAATTTCAATTCAGCATGTTGGTCCAAAAGGTGCCTTGTCAGGTTTCCCTGGGTCGAGAACATGGTAGTACAGCCTGAAATGTGACAGGGAATAAGGCTAGATGGGTTGCTGGTGGACGCCATACCGGGTGTCGCGAGGAGGTGTTTATGGAATGTAGCTTTATTGAGATGCTGGATCTATAATAGAAGAAACGAGGCTGTTTGATAGATATTCTTGGGAGCACAAGCCGCTCACACGTCTTATATATCATTCCTGGAGCTCAATGATTGACTGACATGATGAGAGGAGAGTGCTGAAGAGTAGAGGATGTAAGGAGGAACAAGGCAGCTACGAAATAATAAACCTTACAAGTGTGAGGAACTTAGCTTGAGGATGATAGAGCGATGAATAGGATTTGAGGAGAGCTAAATCCTAAATATAGGGATATCTTGAAGGAAGAGGAAAGTCGGGAGGAAGAGGAGAGCCAAGAGAAAGAGGCGACTGAAGATGAAAGAAAATCAATCAGGAAATGGCAACAATGAACAGCAAGAAGTATACAGAATATGAGATCATCTGCATGATGATGAATATGAAGATACGAAGGTTATAAATATCTAATATAGAGGAAGCCAAGGCGGTGATGAGGAAAAGTCACCAGAGAGAAGAAGTGGAACTCCGATAAGACCGGCAAAACCACCTATCAACAAGTGTGTAGATGCATGCATTGACTGTTCTGTGAAAAAACTGTCACTCGAATGAGCTGAAGGTCTATGAATTCAGATGCATCGCTGTTCCATGTTCATGGCCAAGACCTCTCACGTATGGTCATTTACACCACTCCCCCAAGTGCTGGCTCGAATCGTCCATGCTCAAGACATGACACTCATCCCACTTCCGGGGTTAAAATCAGCATCCATATCTCGTTCCGTGTCGTATCTACGACCTCCTCAGCCTCTAAGGTAGGTCATCGGGTGCTAGTGAGTGAAAAACAGTTGCGACATTTTGTGGCTTCTATTTTCATCAGCTTCAGCCCTTCTATTCTCGGGCGCCTCACGACTCTCCGAGCACGAGAGCCGATTGTACTCACGGTTGCCTAGGCATTGATGTAGCTCGGCCACAAAATGAGCTCAACCGGCAGTCGTTGATCGCGGCCGATCCTCTATCCCGACCCGGTGCCGGGTTCCCCACATTTCTACCCGAAACCCCCGCCTTCCTGTCTCAAAACTTAGTTCCGTGCCGGTGGCAACGCTACCAGTTGTTTGTATGATTTGGGCGCAGCCTGCCGATGTATTTGATGCACGCTGCTGACAGGTCGTCTTTTTTACCCAAAAGTACTCCACCTATCTTTCGGCGATCGAATAGGTGTTGAAGGCCAACGAGCAATCATGACCTGATGGAACTGGGCTTAGGTACTACAACATGTCGGTTGATGAGGTATCAGCAGGTCGAGTCGCTCGGTAAACGAAGCCCCTCGCATTCTGTAAGATCTCGAGGCGCTCGCTCTCTTCCAGACTGTGGGGGTGACTATTCGCTGAGGGAAGATCGAGGGACTGATGCATGTTCTGGCAGAGAATCATACCCTATCTTTCAACTGCTCAAAGAGAATTAAGGTAGCCAAAGTCGAGTCTTCAGATGATTTGAATTAAAAGTGTGCAGACTGTACTGAAGACGTACAAATAAATTGTCCCGAATATCGCAGAAGTAGATTTGAAAGTCCAAAGGCAGCCTCTCCCTCACCACCAGTTGCTGATTGGGAACATCTCCAACCCCGTAGCGGGATGCGTCCATGCATCACAACATCTACTATCAACTAGTTTGCCGCAGTCGTGAGTGAGGTCGCAGGGCAGTCTCAGCCGCTGATCCTGGAACGGGCTTGGGGCGTAGGTACGTAACTCAGGCGGCATGTCGCTGAGAAGGTGACTGGTGTCCGACCTGGTATAGTGTAAGTAGAATCTAAACACTGTGAAGAAGGCCACTCACACATTGCCAAAGCCGGTGTGATCAATGACTTTCATTGGATCCAGAGATGGAACAGGCAGTCCATTTGGAGAGTATTCACCGTGCGAGATATGTTTGGTAGCTGGGATGAGGACGCTGGTAGGGGGGAAGTCCCCCCAATTCTCGTCCTGAATTTGGTTTGATGTCATTGGAAGTCGGGCGAACCCGTCTCTAAGCCACTCCAACTGCTGGGGTTCCGGTTCAGCATAGCTCCATCGAGGACTGCTAGACTTTTTGGAACAGATTGAACAAGTCTTTTCGTGACGCTTAATGTTGGACGAATGTCGACGCAGCATCTTGTCACAGGCCATTTTGACTGGCGGGTTGTGCTTTGCTACTGTGTGCCGTTTGCGATTGGCCCTTGTTGAGAACGGCCTTGAAGGGCAGCCAAGCACTGTGCATGGGAAAACTTCCCTTACACCACCTCTGAATTTCTTCATGGATGCAGTGTCAGGCGTCTAGGCCCCGGAAGCTTAGGTTGGAAAGGTGCCTAAGATGGCCTGTCTGTACTATGGGGTAGTGGAATCTCCCTGCAACGCTCGGTAAGGGCGAAAACGCGGGTCGAAGAGAAGGAGAGGGGCTTTGAAGATGCTCCTGAAATGGTGGGGGCCCAGGTCAAATTGAGGTTGGAGCAACCGTTGAAGTACCTTATTTGGATACCATGCGAACTGTTTGCAAGGTGGGACATTTTTGTCGAGGACCAAGAGCCTGCTTGTGGCGGCAGGAATGGCCACGATCGCTGGTTGGTTGAGGTTGGGGGCTGCGGCATGCCGTGCAACATTGGTAGGTAGTAGAGGAGCCGCCAGGCGAGCACGCAGGCATACGCACGGACGCCAGGAACAACCTTCTCAGAGGCTGGCCTCTTGGTATCAGTCAAGTTGGACTCTCGTCTATATCTCATGGCTGAAAAACTTCTGGAAGGAAGTGAGAGCGTAATAGTCAAACGTGAGGATACATTCAGCCCGCATGACTTGCACTGGCCAAATTTCTCGATTTCTTGCTACAACGTACTAATCTAAAGACTTAGCTGACCTTTTTCATTCTGTGCAAAGGACATTGTATTCATGACGCCGTCTCCATGGTCAAGAGCTGCACTAGCAATTATAATTATGTTGACCTCCTCAAACTTGATACTCGTTTCTAGGTATGAAATTACTTGGAATATTGAGACCAGACATCTGTCAACAGTCGCAGGTCCCCCTTCGAGAGTCAAGCTCGATGGTGATGTGTTCCCAGGCATCACGCTGACCTCAGAGTCCCCGCCAGTGCAAAAGGACGGTAAATTCCTCAGAAGCAGGCTGGGCCCCTCCCGACCTTAGCCAGTGAAGCCGCAACTCGTTCGCCTGGTTGCCTTACTGAACCCCACTGGCAAGGCGTCCACTGGCTTCTGCTGCCTCCGCAGGCAGAAACCTACCTATATCCACCACTAATCTAGAGCGGCGGCCACCTGGTACCGCATGAGCCGAGGTCTTGTGTCACACCTCCATAACTCAGAGCCTTATTTTCCTCCATCCACAGTCCGCCACGTCAAAAATGCACTTTCCAGGTCATTGAATGCCTCTCCTTTTTGGGAATATTCGTCGATCCGATTTTTGCTCTTTCTGTGCACGCTGAAAGTTTTAAGCCGTCAGGTTCGTTCAAATATCCTCATCTTTCTTTTTTTCCCCTCCTCTTAGCGCTGTTATTCTTCTTTCTCTTACCCTTTCTCTTCTCCCCCCTGCCCCCTCTTCCTTCCCTCCTCTTCCTCCCTCCTCTTCCTCCCTCCTCTTCCTCCCTCCTCTTCCTCCCTCCTTTTCCTCCCTCCTTTTCCTCCCTCCTCTTCCTCTCCCCCTTCCTACCCCCATTTGCTCCCCCTGTCTATCCTTGCGCCACTTCACAACCTCATCGGTTGGCGCTGCATCACCACTCGATGACGAAGCTGTCTAAACCCCATGGATCACCGCCATCTAACCAGGTAGAAGAACACATCATCGATCAAGCCCATTCAATCAACATATGCTTAACTCCGGTGAGCCAAACAGAGGGCTTGCCAAGTTGACAGTCATCGGTGATAGCTTCAGTCGACTCGTCCCACACGAGGCTTACGAATCAGGAGATCGTGTTATCACGGTTCCTCCACATACCTCAACTCAGGAGTCTAGTAGTAGCTACAAGGTGGCTTGTAGTCTCGCGGTAATGTGGAAGGGTTGAATGAATGGTGTTAAGGCTCTTACGTAGCCAGATTGTCAGGCCTGCCGAATCGGTTTCACAACGTCGTTCCCGTCGATTTAAAGGTCGCTCCTAAAATGTGTTTTACGATCACGGCACATGTTCAATTGTATCGAGCAGTCTAACATAACAACAACTTATCATAGCCTGCCCACTTCAACGTCCGTCTGTTTCACTTTCAAGCCTTGTCGAAACTACCGTCACAAACCCGACGTCCCCAGGATACGATGCAGTCATTCTAAAGCAACAAGACATCCTTCCATAATCCCACCATATTTCAATCGCATCTTCCTCGCTCGGCATTATGAGTCTAGGTGCATGTACTAAGTACGCCTCCCAGCGAGAGACCTGGATGCCGCGTATCATGAGCCCCGCTACCAGTAGCAACATCGACCGCGTGATACTGCCGGCCAGCCCTCTCCAGGAAGACCTCGGCACGTAATAAACTATATCGTATGCTAGTCCAACCGTATCTCCTTCATATTCACCACTGAATAGTTTCAAGGTAGACCAGAATAGAGAGTAGCTAGACACGGACGTACTAATGCTATGCTAGAACTAATGACGGGCCTTTCGACCGATTGATGCAATCCAACGTCGGCTCTGGCGGACAACCTCCTCGTTTGTGGCGACGCCTTCTTCCACACCTTTGCGGAGCCTACCAGTGTACTCGAGGATCTCATCTGCGAGAGATTCTATTTTTTCGTCACTCAACGGCATCATGGATGCTGCCGCGACAATATAGCGAAAAGGCCTGGCGAACTGATGGCCTTGAATGTTGCCAGGCACCGGGAACAAATCCTTTGCGAGGCATGACCAGACTATGGAGTAACGCCTGGAGTAACCCTCCGACTCTTTCCCCGCCCTTGCATAGAAGCGGTCGATGTCGCACATACTGCAAGATTCGCCAAACGGCACGGGGAGTTGGAAAAGGCTGACTATGCGGTCTGCCATCGCGGCGGTCTCCAAACGATAGCGTATGAATTCCATGGGATCCGCATTGCTATAAGCGCTTTCCTCTCTTGGGATCACAACGCCAGTGGCGAGTTGTTCCAGATAACCGCGGTCCCGATTACCCCAGCCCTTGCTCCAATCTCCAGGACAAGTCTCGAGGAGAAGTTTGGCCAGAGGGGGGACGCGTTGTTGATAAAAGAGTTCCTCCATTCTCTTTTGCACCTCAGTGTCACTAGTCTGGCTTGGCGGGGCCCAGTCGTTGCTGTCATCCGGATCACCAAACAGCCTCTGTGCCTCATCTCCAGAAAACTTGACAGTTTCGAGTGCATCCCAGCGTGACTGGAACTGTGCCAACGGCGTACCTGTGCGCTTGATCCAGGGCCAGGACCACTGGTCGTTCAGGGCACTAAAACAGAATCCTTGGTCATACGCCATTCGATGTAGTTTACCCTTGCAAGCATCGAGGACGGACCGACGGAAGCTTCTATATGTCTCCTTTTGGATCTCGTTAGGCCGGTCGGGCTGAAACGTCTCGACTTCTTTCCCATCGCTAGCTTTTTTCTCCTCATTCTCCTCCCCATCATCCTCAGCAGCAAAGAGAGGGCTTCCCTTGGATTTCAGAGTCGCAATCACCGAACTGGCAAAGACTGATCCGTAAGCGAGCTTACTGGCGCTGGGAGATAGCACCCACGATTCAGACTGTTCCCCTGGCGTGGCACTCGGTGGATGTTGGTTGTTGCCCTTCAGGTCTTTGACAATCCACCCCTCAGCATAGCATGCCGATGTCAGGATGGTCGCGCGGCACCCATCTGCAATCGCTTCTCTCAGTCGATTTGCTTTGAGCCCTCTCGCGTCATCAGACGCATCCAGAAGGAACCTATGGTCAACGAGCCCATGACAGAAGACCATGATAAGCAACGGACGGTCGTTCTTTGCTGCTTCCACCGAAGCGCGTTCAACCTCGTTCAAGAAACGGTCAATCATGCCTTGAGGCTCAACGACCACGGGTGGTGTGATCTCCCCGTTCTGGAGTAGCGAAGAGCTGAGAACCACCTTTTGTTCTTGATACGGGTTCCCATGCAAGTAGTTTCCATAGGTCTCAAGCAGACGCTCCGGATCCTATTTTGCGTTAGCGTTGGATGCAGTCAAGAGGATGTGGAGCAGAACTTACTGCTGCTGTCAACCAAGTTTGAGAATGCCCCAAGCCTTTGAACAGGTAGTTAAAGGCATAAAAGTCTGACAGAAACCACCCATCACGGCTCTGGATGCCTGTGTCCAGATCTGGAGACGCGACCGCAACGATGACGGTATTGGAATCAATGTTGGGAGGCGTCTTGGTGACAAACGAAGGTCGAGAAGCGACATGACATAAGGCCTCTTGTGGATTAAGCATCGTGGCGAGACTGTGTGGCATAGCCTTTTACTCTTGAGTAAATTGTAGTGTTATTCTTAGGATCGGAGAGTTTTCTTATACGTCTCTTAACATCTATCGCCGAACCACGCTCCTGCCGCTGCCGAAAGGGTGTCTGAAGCAGTCCCCAAATGTGGGCAGAGATCACTCGCGAGCTCATAAAGGTATCTTCTCCAGTAAACGGTGTACTTCCAGGTTCCCTAGCTTTGTAATTAATCAATCCATCTAGTACTGTTCTCGGATGAGGCCCATAGTCGCTCAGGTCGGACGTAATTGAATAGGTTAATGGGGACATGCATGCCTAGGTGTAGTCAGAAGACGATGGTGGAAGCAACGGACCGTCTGAGAAGAGGTATGTAAGGAGGTAAGCTTTTAATAGAGAGGCTAGATGGTAGGCTCCTCTCAGTCCTCATGATCTTTGAGTAAGTGTACTGAGGTAAATACCACGATCAAGATCACCACGTAAATGGGGTACCTTGCCCCCTATCTTTTCCCTCGGTGTCACTTCCCTTAGCGTCAACTTCGTCCTCATCTTCATCCTCGTCATTGGCATTGTACTCGCCCTTCCCGCCACTATTACCCCTGAATACCACTTGGGTAGCGACACCGATAAAGTAAGGTCCTTTGATGCCGGGGAAAGAGAAAGAAAGCGCATCGCCCACAGCCTTTATTCACTATCTTTGCGAACCGGTGCCGGACAGCGCTTTGTGATATTCGCGCTTCCACGTGAGGCTATGACAAAACTGTCCGGTCCAGCCATAGCCGTCCGACTGAGAGCAAGCAGACCGATCACAGCTGCATTCGAACTTTCTCTCTCAACTAAATTCCAATCGAGCCCCTGGTCACAGCCCCGTACGCCGACACAGACTGGTAAGTGGGTTCGCCTGGCCATCGATAGTTTCTGCTTCACCAAGAGAGCAAGTTCCCATTGTACGATCCAGAGGACTTTTCTAACCAATAGACAAGCATGTCCTATTGTGCTCTTTCCGGACCCTGCAGGTGCCTCTATCTACGCAAAGAGACTCTGTCCCTTGCTGTTGTGCCGTTTCTCCATGGGTTCGCGAACTTGCTGCCAGGACCTGCACGTTTGTGACTGCGGCTCCATGGCGTTGGTTGTACCGTTTGCACAGTTGTGATGGTCAGTGTCAGGTAACGTAGAGAGGCAAGCGGAGGTGGGGTGTAGGTGGGCATGTAGCTGCAGGGGGTGGCGGTTGCATGAGATGGCAGATCCGAGGAATTAGGTCACTTACGACGTACAGAGGACGTTGGTTCGTTGCAGAGTTCAAAGGCACAAGAAAAGTACCGAGACTTGAGAATCAATTTGGGTCGGACCGGTCGGAGATGGAGTGGCGCTGCGATGGTCCCTGAAGAACCCACCTTCAACGGCAGCGGGCCAGATTAAGGTTTACAGCAGGGTACCTACCTCCAAAAGCCTTGGCCAACCCAAGTCAAATTCAACGACGGTGCTTGACCTCGGACGCAAACGAGAATGGTTCACCCCTTGAGGGTTACGATGAACAAGGTAAGGTATAGTGGGGTGTCAAAAGTTCGTGTACACCCTACCAATACGCGTGCCAATACGTTTTCTCCTTAATATTACTTTTCCTTCTACATCCCACAACTTTAGTAAATAGAGGCTAATTTATAAGCTTTTTACTCTCGAATAATAAGAAGCTATAAGGCTAATTATAAACTTATAAAAGTCTAGTAAGTAACGATTATTATATTTATAATAACTAAGAAGAGTTATTACGAGGTCGTAGTACTCTTTAACTTATTATACTTAATAATATAAAAAATAGTTTATTATTTTAATTTAAATACCGATTTTAAGTCCCTACCCCGGGAAAAAAAAACTAAAAAATCTTTTTAATAAAGAGAAACGCTTTATAATTAAATCTACCTAAATTAACTATTAATAGCCGTACTTTAAGCTAGTTACTAAGTAATAGGGCTAGGCTAGCCTTAGTATTATTAAGCATATTCTTAAGAAAATAAGCTATTATAAATAGAGAGCTATAAAAAGACTTTTTATAATACTAAAAGTAGTAGCTAAAAGGCTCGATTTTATAAAAAACTAAATTTAAAACCTAAAAGAATTAATAGTAGTATATAGTTTAATATAAAGACTTTATATAGAGATTTATTTACTAATTCTTAATAGTTTTAGTCCTAGTTCTCTAATAAATCGTCCTATTAAAATAATACTTCTACCCTAATTAAATAAGTATTTAGGTTACTAAAAAACTACTAAAAAAAGAGATTTATTAACCTCGTTAGTTATATTAAAGTAAATATATTTATTATAATATAAGTAATAATATAAAGGGATAGTCGCTCTAAATTAGTCTTCTTTACTCATAACAACCGCTCCTAACGGTAAGAATATAATATAAATAGCTATATAAATTATTTAGAAAAAGGGTATTTACTATATATAAATAATATATAGCATTTTATATAAAATAATACCCCTATTTATATTATAAAGCGGATAATAGAGTAGCTTATAGCCTATAGGATTTCCTACTTCGAATAGCCCCTATATTCGCTAGACCTTAACCTAATTAAGCATTACTAGTATATAATAAAGTCTAACCTACGTAAACTATACCTAAAAGTATTTATTTTAAAAAAAAATAAGTTAAATATAAAAGAGTTTAAGTAGTAATTAAGGGTAGCGTAAGAAGCTATATTATTAAAAAAGATTTTATTAATACCCTTATTATAGGGTAGTTAGTTTAAATTATAAGTTAACGAAGAGATTAATTAAACTATATAAATTTCTATATAAGTATAAAAAGGAGGTTCTAACTATAAGTTAAGCTAGCTATAATAATTATAAATAGGGCCCCTAATTAGCTCCTATATAATTAGCTATATACTATAATTAAATTAAACTTTTAATTTAATACTAACTTTTTTTTTTATTAATTTACTTATTATAATTAAAAATATAATTTAACTTTAAGTACGTTTATTAAGTCGTTTCTTTTTTCCCTTTTTTTTTACTCTTTTTATATAACCTATCCCTTTATTTATATATTAACTTTTTTATTATTTATAAATTACTCTAACCCCTTATTAAGTATTATTTTTATAAAAGTATTAGCGAGGTTATTATTATTATTAATTTAACAGATCTCGAGGATCTTATACTTTTTATATAATTACCTAAGGGCTATAATATTAATTATAAGCCTCTTTTTTTTTATTATTTTTAATTTAATAAAATATTTATATAATAAGTAGGAATTAATATAAATAACCGTTAGGATTAGTAAAAGATTAAGTTAATTAGTAATTTTTTTTAGTATTATTAAAATTATATAAGTAAGGTTAATACCGTTAACTATATTATAAACTTTTAATACTAATATATTTCTTATTATTTACTTATTTTTAGTTAATAAGTAATAGACTATATTATTATATATAATAAATTCGCTCTTACTTATACTCTTATTAACTAGGATAATAATATACTTTAATTATAAAATAAAGTTATTATTATTTATAAATAACTTATTAATAAAGACGTAGAGCTTATTAATAATAAAGTTAATTAGGTAGTAAATAAGGCCTCGATTAAGATTTATTTATTACTATTTAAGCTACTTATTAAGTACTTTAATATTTTATTTATTTAGCTCTATAACTTATACTATTTTAGTATAATTAAAAATTACTTTAAGCTAATATATACTTATAATATATACCCCTCGTATAAGCTTAGCTTTATATTATTTTTTAATATTAATTACGTTTAAATTAATAAGAGTAATTTTCTTATTTTACCCCTTTTATTAAAAAATAACGGTTTCCCCTTTAATTATAAAAATCCTATTATTAAATATTAATAAGTTATTTATTATAAAGACCTCTTTTAGCTTAGTTATAAAGCCCGCTTTTTAAAACTCTTTATCCTCTTTTTTTATAAAGTTAATATTAAATAGGCTTAATATATTATTAATTTATATTCTAACGATTTTAAATTAATTACTTTTATATTTAAAAATTAATAAATATAGGTCGTACGTCGATATAACTATTAATAATTAATTAATATAAAAATCGTAGTATATAGCTTACTAATAAGTACCCGATTTTATAAGCTTATATAGTAATTTAAGTACTTTAATAATCGTATTTTCTAAGTATTTACTAGCTATTTCTTTTAGTAAGTAGGCTAGGATTTTCTTTATAAGCCCTATAGCTAATTAAGTATAGGCCTAAGTAATATTACGGCTCTAAATCTCGTATCCCTTTTTTTATAGTAATACTATTAATACTATTATTAATTATTAACTATAGCGCTATATTATAAGTAATTAGGTAAATAGTATTACTTTTTTAATATTATTATACCCTTAAATTATATACCTAGATTTTTTATATAATTAAGTTATTCTTTTTCCCTTAATTTTATATACTATTTATAATTTAAATATATAGAAACTTTTATATTTCTTAGGGTTATAGAAAATAAATTAATAGACCCCTCGATCGTATAAAATATTTACTTTAATAAGATCTAATCCCTTATATAGCTTTTTAGTAGTTATAATAATACCTTCTTTATATAGTTTAATTACTAACTTAAAATTAGCTTTCTTTTTTACTATATAAAAAGTATTAAATACCTTATTATTAATAATAAATTACTACGTTAGGGCTTATTATTATAGTCTTTTATAATATTTTACTAATAATATTAGTACCTTTTTAATAATTTCCTCTCCCTCGTTATTTATTAATATTACTATAACGATTTTATTAAAAATAATTTCCTATGCCTTTACTACGGGTTATACTATTTCCCTTAGTTTTTTTTTTTTTTTATAAATTAAAAATTACTTTAATAAGATCTATATAATATAATCTTATTATTATAATTAATACTTTAAGTAACTAGTTACGATCTTTTATAACTATATAAAACCGCTCGTTAATAAAAATTAATTTATATAACCTAGCTTATT